CATGACACACACAACAATTATTTACACATTGCTTATCAAAGGTCACTGTGCTTGCAGCGAGTTTATATCTCAAAGGGATAGTTCACCCAAAAATGACAATTCTGTCATCCTGTCAACTTATTTTGTTCTTTGCAACTCAAGTTATTTTCGAAAAATGTGTCTGGGTTTATGCTGTAAATGCTGTTTTTCTCAAAGTTGTTTTAGCCCCTACTGACTTTCAGTTTATGCACAAAACAGTTACAAAAACATACAAAATAAAGTCATGCAGATGACATTAGGGTATAAGTAAAATGATGACAGAATTTTCATCTCTGTGGGAACTATCCCTTTAAATCAGGGGTGCCCAAACTCGGTCCTGGAGGGCCGGTGTCCTGTAGAGTTTAGCTCCAACTTGCCTCAACACACCTGCCGGGAAGTTTCTAACATGCCTAGTAAGAGCTTGATTAGCTGGTTCAGGTGTGTTTGATTAGGGTTGGAGCTAGAGGTTTACACGGAGGACCCGAGACCCGTTATCAGAGTCAGTCAGCGTGGTGCGTGTGTTGTTTTGTAACTTTCAACTTGTAAAATTAGGATGAGAAAAGTGTGAGTCGGTAATTTGAAATAAGGTGGGGGAAAAAAACACGAGTGATGTCATCAGAAGCAGGGTGGGCGGAGTTAATGCACACTCACAGTGATAATGGATACCTTCACGAATGATGTGAGTTATTATTGATTATTTTTTTAATAAAATTATGAATGAACCGTCTTGTTGTTATATCTAAAATCTTTGCTCAGACTCAGCTCAGAGAGCACAGAGATGATAGCAAATAAGTAAAGCTAACGTCAGCAGCCATGGCACTGGACGAGCAATCGTTATTATAATCCAAATGGGCAAACGGTCTAAATTATTATGCAAGTTGACTCGAGATACAAAAAAAAAACTGCAAAGTCACATTTGTCATCCGTCAACGTGAGAGCAAGTGGACTTTTGAAACTGAAATAATGAGTGGATTACGCATTTCAATTGGCAAGAGAGGAATAACACGGAGGGAACTTTCTTTGCAAGGAGGATTGTGTGCATCACAGTCAGGTAAAAGGGAGAAGGCTTCTTACATTAGGTAAGACAAAAAGTTTAATTTTCGCAACTTGTTTATCGACTTGTTAATAGCAATTTGCTGTGGAATATGTGCCGATCGGGTCCAGTTGGGTCTGTGTCTTCCCGGCCGGGTTCGGGTCCATCTTTCAAATAATTGACAGTCTGCGTCGGTTCCGGGTAGTACATTTTTGACATTTCTCGGTTCTGCACAGGCCCGGGTCCAACTTTCAAAATAATAGACGGGTACGAATTTTTGGACCCATGAAGACCTCTTGTTGGAGCTAAAACTCTGCAGGACACCGGCCCTCCAGGACCGAGTTTGGGCACCCATGCTTTAAATAATTACTGCCATACAATAAATAAAAAGATGCCAATAATGGGACTTTAAGCAAGCAGGAAGAAATTAATTGTACGGGACAGTGTGTACAGGAGTGGGCAGCTGTGGAATTAAAACTCCATATTTTCATAATTGATTAGTCAGTTGGTTGTCTAAACAAGTACAGTGTCTGTGTTCAGGAAACTCTATACAATACGCCTGCATCATCCCTACCAGTCCCTAATCAGACATGTTTCAGACACTACTGTACAGTAAGAGCAGCTCTTTAATAAGGCCATTCAACAAATAACTATAACCTTGTATTGAACAAAGCTACCAAAGTCCTCATGAGAATGGTTCAATACACAGAGGCACAAAACCACCTACGCTCATCCCAGATGCAGAATGATATGCTTCAATGTAATCTCAGCGCTGGGCTCATGGGATTTCCCATGATTTCCCAACTGTTAGATCAGAAATATTGTCTGTGCCCATAATTACTGCCATATATTTATTTTTAAACAGCAATTAATTTGGTAACACTCATGCATTAGAGTCATTTTCAACAAATCGATTCAGCTTTAAGGGCCCTGCACACAAAATGGCCCACTACAAATATTGACACATGAAGATGGGTAGAAGCCAGAGGCACCCTGTTGATCGCAGCATCTGTGCCTCGAAACGCAGAGTTCCAGCATTACACCACGACATGAACAATGGAAGGCGAACTAGATTTGGCTTTCCTGAATGATCACGTTTCTGGGGCTGAGAGCTGATAACAGATAAAGGCAGCTGTGCTGGAGGACGACAGACAGGAAAGCCTGCCGAAGCACAGACAAGAGGCTAAAGCGCATTTGTCAGGCGGTATTGCTCACCAGGGCTTTCCCAGCCGGTGAATGTGAGGTGACAGTGTTTGCAGGAATTAAAACATCATGCTTTATCTCACTGCCTAAACCTGATAGATCATATTTTCAGTGAGGCGGCGCATGAACACGTACAAGAGGGGTTGGCGTATGGGCCAAAGCGGAAGTGGGAGGGGTATTTTTATGAAACAATGCGATGACCAGGGACCACTCAACCAGGCAACACCAAGCTGTTGCCTGGCTCATGGTCCATATGCAGTTCTCTACACCCCTTCACATGCAGGCGACGGTGAGGAGCATCAGTCTCTCTTACAGGATCACGCAGCTCCTGCACAGCCAGCGATATCCCTTCTGCTTTTCAAAAGCAACAGATATATCAGAGCAAAGGCCTCACATTGTCAAAGACAATATTCAAGCCCCCTCTTTGATGACATTTTTGTAAAATAAAATAAATTAAACAAATTAATAAAAAATTAGTACGGATCTTGCATAGGGATGCACCAGTGTTCAATCATTTTGTTATGGCTGATAACCACTAAACGTCTGATATTAAAATTTGATACAAAAAAAAGAGAGAGAGAGCTCTACTGTGCATTTTCAGTAAAGTTAAAATATGATTTAAATTTACATATCCTAGATCTTGTTTTTTAGCTTTTTAGTAAAGTTGGATCATTTCGATACAACTTATTTTAAATAAAACTCATCTTGCAGCTTGGAAGTGTACAGATTCTCCTTGGTTCGGAACCATCGCATTAAAGGAAACATTACCGTACATGTTCACGCTGTTCATTTTCATCTAGCAGTGCATGAGAGACCTAATTCAGTCCTTGTTATCACACAGCTACAGGTTCAGTACAGTACAGTGAATCCAACTGCATTGCATGCCAGGCATAAATAGACATAAACTGATCAACTTAGCATAAATGCCTCTCTCACACATCACACTAAAGGTATTATAGTAATAAATAAAAAGATGCCAATAATGGGACTTTAAGCAAGCAGGAAGAAATTAATTGTACGGGACAGTGTGTACAGGCATGGGCAGCTGTGGAATTAAAACTCCATATTTTCATAATTGATTAGTCAGTTGGTTGTCTAAACAAGTACAGTGTCTGTGTTCAGGAAACTCTATACAATACGCCTGCATCATCCCTACCAGTCCCCAATCAGACATGTTTCAGACACTACTGTACAGTAAGAGCAGCTCTTTAATAAGGCCATTCAACAAATAACTATAACCTTGTATTGAACAAAGCTACCAAAGTCCTCATGAGAATGGTTCAATACACAGAGGCACAAAACCACTTACGCTCATCCCAGATGCAGAATGATATGCTTCAATGTAATCTCAGTCACTGTTTCCCATACTATTTCACTGTTGACCTTATTTTTAATGTAAGAGGTGGTGCATTTTCGTAACATTCCTTTGCCGTGAAAATAGTTTTATGTTTACTACACTTTTTTTATTCTTATCATTTACAAATATCTGCTAATTAAATAGATGTATGGCACATTCACAGGTAATAGCTTCTGGTCTAAAAAAAATAAAATAAGGTGGATCAATAAAAAGTGCTTGTACTCGACCTCACAACTTGTGGGTGGGGCCTCGTGGCATGGATCACAATAAGTCTTTGACATGTTATATTTTAACTCCAAAGCATTATTTTGGGGAAAAAATTAGGCTGCATTATTTCAGTCCTAATGTGTCGGAAAATAGCAATGCAGTTTCATGTTCGTGCCTATTAAAGGGTTAATGAACGTGCCGTCCGTGCGCGCTTCATTCCATAACAGACTCTTACATCAAAGGACGTCTACTCTTGTAAAATATACTTAAAGTGGTGGTATCTAAAGAGAAATGTACATTTAGATCAGGGTATTAGCGCAGAATGTATTAGTGGCTCCAGAACAAACGGCGCTGAAAGAGCAGTTGTGAAGACGCGTTCAACAGATGGGCGACTGCTCTTCCTCACAGCCGCAGACCTGTACGGACAAATCTTGCTTTGATTAATTAGCATAAAGCCTGGTCGGGAATGTTAATTGAAAGACAGCTGCATTGGCTTATTGACCAAACGATTATCAGTGTGTCGGTTATTGATATAAACTGAATTCTATTTTAAGTTGCGCCGTTAAAGGCAACTACAGCGGGCGCCAAATCACAGTTGTATCACCTTCAAATAACATTACAGTCGCGCGGTGACAGTAGAGACGGTATTTAAACGTCGATATGAACACACTGACGAAAACCCAAAAGAACTTACAGCTGTAGGGGAAAACGAGACGCAACCTTCAACATGATGTTTCTACTTCTAGTTTTCCAGTGAGACGTACACTGGTTGATCATGTCACTCAAGGCAAGCTCACCATGAACGTGGTCTGATTGGTATAAAAATAAATTTTCTCTGTAAGTTTATGGTCGAGGCATGAAAAGGAAAGGCAACAGAGACCTTGATCCTGAATGCATTTCTGTTCTGAATGCTGCTTCTAAAGATAATAGGCTACACTTGATTATGAAGAGAACAAAATGAGACTTGGTTCAAATTCACAGACGATACTTTTACATAGGCTATTCCAACTTAAAAGGACCATTAAGTAAATGTATTCAGAGTGGTCGGTCTATAATAATACGCTAGTCTTTTTAGACCATTCAAATGCATCGATTGCGAAGCAACGCAATAATAGTTATAACATATGGATATAAAAAAAAAAAAAAAAATATATATATATATATATATAAGCACTGACATACCTTCTCTCTGTCAGCAGTAGTTATTCTATATTCCCCGATTTGTTCCGTAGATGCAAATACAATTTGCCTTCCATGACACGTCTCAGTTTGAGTCCGCGAAGTAAATTCAATTGGTGCATCAGTCAGCATAAATTGGTCTGTATAACAACCAGTATGTCTTAAGCAAAATCAGACTCTTGCATGTTGTACTGAATATTTTATGGTCTGGGTGAATCATGATCATATTTGAATCCACAGTTACTGTTTATTTACTTAAATGAACTGATTACAAAAGCAAGTATGAGTAAGTTCAACTACAAAAAGGGACGGGAGAAACTGCCATGGAATCAACATGGCTGCTGCAAAACAGGAAGTCCTGGCCTAAAAGAGCCAATCATTTAGCAAGTTTGTTGTCTGTAATTGTAGGGCTATTCCCAAGTTACCTGATGATTTACCTGGCTTTAACTTTGGTCTTCTTCATATGTTTCTTGTAGCCAGATAAAAGTCTCTTTTGGTTAAAAAAAAACAATCTGCCTTATAGAATGTTTCTAGATCACTGAAATTCATAGGTTGTCTTGGATGCACTGCCTGTTTAAAATCTTCCTGGAGATATCAATAATATTGAAGTCCATTCCAAAACCTTAATATTTTATTTCTTGAAGTAGCATACTGTGTAATAGTAGTATGGTTGATTTTGGTTGGGGATTGCAGTCTTTATAATCTTTTTTTTTTTTATGTTTCCCTCTATGAGACATTACTTTGTGTGATTTAATTATACTTTGTAGAATTATACTTATTAATTATACTTCTGCTGCTGGCATGTGGTACATGTGGTTATTGTAGCCAAATGTAAAATTTTAATTTTATCTGATCTGATAATGCTATCTCACGACCAATTTGTACGTATTTTACGAGGTGGCTAATTCGTATGACCTCACTCGTACGATTTGTCTAGACCCCAGTGACGGGTAGGTTTAGGGGCGGGGTTAGGTGTTGGCCATTCATACAAATGCATACGAATTGTGCAACGCGTAAAATACATACAATTTAACAAAAATCGTATGAATTTGTACGAGTGTTACATTTTCATTTTATCTGATCCAACCAGAACACTTGGTTCAACAACTAAATATTTAAAATATTCAAAATTCAACAGCAACAAACATTTGTTTATTTAGAATTTAATCTCCACCTCCACTTTACTTTTGTGTGCAGGCTTTAGTGCACCACTTTAATAAGTGCTTGTGGGGGGATCACTCTGAACTTGAAAAGGATAAACAAGTATTCATGTATATTATTTTTTATTATTATCATTATCCGCTTGTTAAGTCTGATGTCAAGTGTCACCGCTTCCGTGTCCAAACGCTCTATCAGATACCATGAGAAAACAACAAAAGGTGCTAATATACACTCACAATGTGATATAATACTACCAAAAAAATTTATAATCCTACACTCTAAAAAATGCTGGGTTAAAAAAGGACAAACCCAGCTATTGGGTTGTTTTGACCCAGCAGTTGGGATGTTTTGAACCCAACCGCTGGGTCAAAACAACCCAATAGCTGGGTTTGTACCTTTTTAACCCAGCGTTGGGTTATTTTTAACCCAGCATTTTTTAGAGTGTAACCTTTAACTCCATACCGAAACTCCAGATAGCCAGACAATGAAAATATAAATAAATAAATAAATATAACAATTATTTGTGTTTGGGACGCTGTGAGCATGAAGACTGTAGTGTAGATCGTAAGTTTGAAAACGTTTAGCTTAAATGTTTAATATGAATAAACAGTGCTCATAAATGGCTGCTGAGGTAGTATTCTCAAGTGAAGCGAGTTGAGGCTTGGACCTGTAAACAGCGCTTCTTCCGTCACCACTAGACAACCGAATTAGTTATTGTTGTTGTTTATAAATGATTTATCTGTGCACATCATTATTTTATTTATTTTTAATTCATGTGCTCTTTAATCAAAATAATTTATCCTCCCTCTTGCAATGAAATCTCATCTATTCTCTGATGATATGTATCCCAGCGTGAGGGCGGGACAACCTTTCACTCACTCGAGATTAGGGCTGTCAATTTTTTTCGAATATTCGTCTAATTTAAAATAAAAATATATAGTATAGGGCGGGACAACCTTTCACTCACTCGAGATTAGGGCTGTCAAATTTTTTTTCAAATATTCGTCTAATTTAAAATAAAAATCCACATTCGAATGCAAAAACGTTGCATTCAAATTTTAGGTGTGCGTCAGGCAGCCTTTTATCAGTGGCGCACCAAATGGTTAAACCCAGTTGAACCCACTAGATGCGGCGCTGCTACGTTGTTCATTCAAAATACTGCAGAAAAAGAGAACAATCAATGCGGGGAATATGTTGTTTCGTCAAAACCGAAACTAAGCCGTTCACACCGAACGCATATTCATCGCATTTTCTAGAGGGACATCTATCAACGCTGCACTCGCACGAGAGAGCAGCATGTTTAGAAAGCTATGTAAAATTAATGTAAGTTCAAAAACATGTCTCCAGACTTTATGGTGGTTTTCCCCATCCGACTGCATCTCAAGTTTTTACATTTGTAAAACTCCTTTGTATTAAACTACATACATGCATGAACAAGCAACTTTATTAATTACATATGGTTTATAAACATAATTTTAAACATTATGCACTTTTTTTTAAGATAGTCATGTTATTTTATTATGCTTTGAAGAAACGTGCATAATATTTTGCTCGATGCACCCTCTTGTGGCCTCAGGAGAGAAGCCAAAAGCTTTTTTCCCCCCTAACTGAAATTATGCCTTTTACTTGTGGATATCATTCGAATATTGATAATATTTCAGTAAAAAAATTCGAATTTAGTTTTTCAGCCATTTTGACAGCCCTACTCGAGATTGCAGCAATAGTAAACGACAAAGATCCAATTAATTACTGATGAACCAAATTGAATCCTGCCCTACATTTTTTTTTCTTGTTCGAGAAGCCACTTTACTCGTATAGGAAAGAAAAGACGATCACAACTTAAACAATCGTTTAATGCCAGCTTTAACTCTTTGTAACTTTTTACTGTAACTTTATAGTATTTTTACTGGGCCCTTGTGGAGGCACCACTGTCACCAACATGGGGTCTATTAACTGCTTCAATCATCTGGATTCTGTCAGACTAGGTGAATAGAGGTTGTGTTTTTGTGCTTTGCCACTGCCTGTGTAACGTGTATCACGTCAAACAATGGTTGAATAATTTGCACCATTACTTACTGCTGCTTCATAAAAGCCTATATTCCAAAAGTTTGTGTTGATGAATTGTTGATGTCAGCAGATTTCGCCATATTTACTGCTGAGCTTTTGACCATACACGTGTTGTATTTTGTACATTACGTGTTTTGTAAAGAGATTGCAGGTTAGGTTAAAGAGATTGCAGGTTAGGTTTCCTTCTGACGAGCCTTCCATGTATATCATGTTTGTGCTAATAACGGTCCACAGTGGACTGATTCACCACTACAACACTACTCTCTGCTAAATCTCCCTGCAAGTTTTTTGCAGGCCATATGGGGGTTGTAGTTTCAATCCCAGACCAGTCTAGTTTATTTTTTATTTTTTTTTCTTGGTCTTCAGATCTCGCCTTGATTTTTTTCCCTAACTTATATTTCTCAATGACATCTTAGATTTTAAACATTGCAAATACCAAGTGTCTCCATATCTTTCCATAACATTCCCCTTGCTTTATAAGACTCAATTATCTTTTTTTTCTGATTCTCAGTCAGCTGTTTAGAGAAGCCTGTGGCTGTTGAGTGTAAACACCTTGAGAGGTTTGAAGAGTGAGATAATTATTATATAAGCTTTGGAACTGTCATCACCTCACTTACATCAAGGCCTTACATTTTCAGAGAATTAACCTAGCCCTAAGAGGCTAACCCTAACCCTAAGTGTGCCAAAACCTTTGCACATTAACTTTTTTTTATCAGTTACATTTAGTAAATAAAAATGAACCATGATTTGCAGAAATATGTCAAGTTTAAATTTTGTTTTTGTTTGTTTAAATTTTGTTGCTGAGTTTATGTAAGCTTCTTTTCGGTAAGAGCTTCAATGGAACATGTTACTTGGTAAAGAATGCGCAAATAGCTTATAAGAGGACACATGAAAACTAAATATGCATATGACAGACTGTGCAATACATACAGTTTGTTTGAACTGACTTCCCTCAGCTTGTAAGTCGATTTAAATGTATATTAAAGTTTCTTAAAAATGCAATAGGTGTGAAGATTAAAAAAAAATGTCAGCCCTTTTACCAGCTATATGTACATGTGTATATGTACATAAGAATAAATGTTATTTAAAGGGGTGGTTCAGTGTTTTTTTTCTAGGCTTGATTGTGTTTATGGGGTGCAGTCTAACGTGTTAATGCTTCGTTTTTTTAAAACGCATTATTTTTCACATAATTTACCTTTTATTCCACACCGCTCTGTCCCTTCTCTGAGAAACGCGCTGATCAATTTCCTGCTTTTATTAAGCCCCTTCCTCAGAAATAGGCAAGGGGCTCTGATTGGTTAGCTAGCCCAGTGTGTTGTGATTGGCTAAATCACCTCTAGTGTGCGTCTAAACGTCCCGCCCCTCTCCTCAGTGGCATGTGCTCCAGTTGTATTGTAAACAACGGCGTCGTTAATATCGCTTATCAGTTTGAGCTCGATTGAGAAGCAGAGGATATTATTGAAGCGGATCGTGCAGAACCTGTGCAAGCACGGCTTTAAATGGCAGGCCTATATTTTTTGTTTGTTGTTGTCTCATACCTTTAGATGCGCTGTTATTTTTAAATGCTATTGCTTATGTTAGCTTTTAATATACAGTTTTATCCTGATTAACCCTTTCGCACATGAGTTTAAAATATTCTAGCTGAGGCTTTTTTTTTGGGCGACCGTTATTTTAGAATGTATTGCCTTATTGCTTCCATGGCGACGCGTCATGCTTGTCATGTGACACAACGCAGCCACAATAGCTCTGTATGACACATGATCGCTTTTATTTAGTTTTTCCTGTTTTATTCAAAATATTCACAAACATGCTCACTATATTATGAAATATCTGATATTCC